GTAAGCGTTTTAAAAGCCAGTCCCTGTTTAGTTTTATGTCATTCATCAGCTAAGGTACATTTAGTAAAAATATCTGGATTTGAGGATAATGACAAAAAAGAAAACTGAAATGTGTAACGTTATGTGATTGGTTTATGTAATGCCAATGCAGGAATCATTCATGTTTTGATGTTAATACATTGATTCATATGAGAGAACTACACCTTAACTCCTCCTGGCCAGCAGGCGGCACACTCCAAACTCTTCTTCCAACCCTCAGTTGTACCGCCAATGCTAATCATTGGTTTGGTTAGCAAACAAAAACTCTTGTCAGAAGGAAAGTAGCAACATCTTAATGGCTTCTTTTGCTTAAAGTCAGCACCAGCAATCAAAACTGATATTTACCCTTGTTTTACTTCTTCTATGATCGGCTTGAATCTGAGAAATGTAACGCATAGAGTAACTCATTTCCCAGCTCTATCATCGAGCTACTGAGCCTGAGTTCTGTCTTATTTCTCACTTTAATAGTCCTATTGGTGCACAATCCCTTTTGGATGAGGTTTGCATCATACGCAGTAAATATTTTAACTTTTTGACCAGTTAAAATTTATAAAATAATTATTTATTAATGTCCCCCCCAGTAAATTAACACTTTTATTTGTCACCACTCTAGACCCTCTGTGGTTGGTTATTTTGTTAAAAAAAGCAACTTTTTGATCAGAGATAAACTGATACATCAGCCTGTCAATATTTTTGCACAATTTTTTTTGCTTTTTGTGCGTTATGTGCATTGATTATTCAAGTGCATGCATTGCCACAACCCCCCACATTTTAATTGGTCATGTTTCTTTTTTGTTTAAATCGAGAGCTGTATAACATTTTTTATCATGATTATGATAATTGAACTTTATTGATCTCTCATTGGAGATTTGTATCTCTGCAATTTACCCATCCCCTTGGGGAGCAGAGAGCTGCCATTGTGTGGCGCCTCGGGGGGGCATTATGGGACTTATTAATTGTTCTAGCATGTTAATTGAGGAAGAAAAAACTAGATAGACTCCAAGAATCAGTGCAAAAACTTCCAGCAGGACATATCTGGGAACAGTTTGACTGATGACAAAATAATCAGCATCAGTCTGAAAAAACCCCCAACTAGAACCAGTTGTTTGATCTCTATAGTTTTGATCAAAACGTTGGAGCCATAAAATTTAAGGAATAATTATAGATTAAGCAGACAACCATCCCTTTTCCTGTCTGGCTCTTTATAGAGAAAAAGTAGAGGTCTAAGAAGCTGATATTAGCTGGTTATTCAGCCAATTGTTAGGCATGCAGCTAACAATTTGCTGTATACCCCTACATTTTTATTTCAGCAATTTGTTAAAATAATGACAAAAAGAAACAACACAAAAATAAACAGCAAGCAACAGCTAACAAGTGGGGGAGGGGCAGAGTAGAAAGGGGATGATTGTAAATTTAACCTGCTTTCCATGCTTAAACAGAACAGTAATTGGCTTCCTTAAACAGCACCAGCAGTGTGTTTTTGGAGCTTCTGGGTATTAAAAAGTCCCTGTATATGTTACAAGACAAACTTTGTTTTGCAGCTGAGATTGAAGTAAATGCCAATCATGAAGAGGTTGGCTTCTATTCTCTGTTGTTTGTGGAAAGACGGCTAGTGTGTTTGCTCTGGGCACCTTTCCCAACCTCCCAACTTAAAGACGTTATAAATACAAACTCTCCTATAGTACTCCTGTAATGTACACACTCTATTTAAGACTGTTTCAAGCTTCAGCTGAGATGTTGCAACACTCAGGCTGCGAGCAGAGCTGCTGCCGAGGTGATGCTTGAGCCAAGAATAACCTCAAATGAGGGCTGGCATCCATACGCGTGCACGGTCTGCGTTGTGTAGGCCTCGGTGTTTATCTGCTCGCTTTGTTCTGCACTTGTTATGAATGATCCAGTCAGTGTGTGGGATTTAATTTGTGTTTATCGAGGCCAAGTAATGATTTTTATGGTCTTTAGAACACCGAGTTAATTATTGTTTACTAAGACTTCATCCAAGCAGCATCAGTTTGGGTTTATCAAGATTGTGTGGAAAAAGTTTTGTTGTAATGATCTGGATTTTTCTTTAACTGTAACAGCTGTTTAGCAGTCGTTCATCTGTGTGAGATACATTTGGGGGGGAAAGAAATCCGGGGATCAAGATAGGACACGTTGGAGAGATGGAAAGGATGGACACATGACACACACACACCGGCTGCCACAATAGCTGGCATGTAATCTGCTCCATAGCTGCAGTGACATGGCCAGACTGACGCAGCAGGACTGCCTTCTGCTCTGACTCAGGGCCCAGTGAGAGCTGTCAGCTATGAAACATAAGCTTAACGTTGTGTCGACTCGCACTCCACCTTTAAAGAGATTTCCTTGTTTCCTGTGTGCTCCCTGTTTTTATTATTTTTTTTTATACGAGATTGTAAACTGGCCCGACTTAAAAAAAAACATGCACTTGGTGTTCTGCCTGCCCATAAAAGTCCAGGCCAACCAGTGTCAAATGGCCAGAGCATGCAAACAAAGCATAGTAGCCTATATATGACTTATTTAATACTGCACATGATGGCAACATACATGGGAAATAGATTATTTTTATTTTACCTGCCTTGAGGTGTTTGAATTGGCTCAATGTAAATAAACTAACTGAATTAAATTACAGTTCTTATTGATGGTTAAAGTCGTAGGGAAATCATATTTAAATTACAAATCATTCTGGCTTAAACGTGTATATAAATGTACTCTTTATTAGACCATATTGTCCCAAAAGTTAGAAAATTTCTATTTAAACAAAAAATCCTGTTTTAAAATCTGTTTTTTTTTTTTCGTTATCTTATGCAGGCCAGTTGGTTGTGCGTCAGCTTGTACTGTCGGTCATAGCATCTTGATTTATATGTCGCAGCTAATATACGCAACGGTTGAAATAATAAACAGGAAAGATTTACTTTACCATAGAGTTCCATCCCAGTGTTCACGGGGATGGAAGACTGTCTTCGACAGGCGTAGAGCTAACAGAACTGGCAGCGTTGCGAGGCAAGGGCTCAAACATGTACGGCTGGAAGCCTTCTACACCAAACCAAGCTTCTGCCGCCCTGGCGTCCTCTTCCACAACAACCAAGGAGCTAAAGTTTAGAGCCAGATAGAGGTCAAGGCCAGGCAGGACTTTTTCTGTCTCCAAACAGCCGTGACCTTCAAAACATTAGGACTGTATTTAAAAACAAAAGAATACTCCAATTCTGAATCAATTCTCATGTTGATCCTTAAAGATCGATGTATATAACGAAAGATCGAGTGTTCAAAAATGTATTTTCCAATGCCTTTATAGCCACCATGAGTTACTATTATCGTTGAATTTTCATATAATACTAAGATTCATATTTTGCCTCACTCCACATTCTCATGATTTTAGTACCAGCCCAAAAAATATTCTTAGATACAGCAATCCATTTTGAGATTGGACTGGATTGAATCGTTTCATTTGGAAGAGAACTTATAATCGAATCAGTCCCTAAAGTTAGAGTTGCTACCCAACCCACAAATATCTAATTTTTTTATGCAATGACATTATGTTTTACATAGAGAGTGGATATTTATTTTAGAAATGGAGTTAGGAGGCTGGGCACAACCAAAGCTTCCTGCTCTAAAGCTGTACTCTTAACAGACCTATGAATCTCAGGTCAGAGTGACTGGCTCGGATAATAGTGACTCAGTGTAAAAAGAAAAAGCATTCTAGAGGTTTAAGGGAACACTTTTTATTGTTTTTATTGTTACTACACTGGACTTTTCTTTTTGATGGCAATGCTGCCTGGAAATGCTTTATATGTCATGTTCAAAGTACACCTTTCACACAGAAAGCTCCTTGGTGGCTTACTGCCTCAGGTCTTTTAGTTCAAAAAAAAAAATCAACTTCTGTGTTTCTGAAAATAAAAAATTGGAAAATGGCGTCCAGTTAAACAGCTGAGCTGTTTTTTAAAAGTGTTTTTTTTTTTTTTTTTTAAGACAGCAGAAGTCCATTTTGCTGTATTGCCCCCTGTGATTATCTCTTAGCTTTAGCTTCAGGGTCGACTCCCTTCTTAACCCTTTAAAGCCTGATTCAAGAGAAACAGAAAATAACTTTTTTTTTTTTGGTTTGAATTCCTTATTTGCCCTTTTAACAAAATATGTAAAAAGAAAAAACAGAATTACATTTTTGATATTAATATTTCATTACTATGCGATAAGTCAAGATAATTTTTTGTGTAGTCTTCTACTGGCTGTTATCAGGTATATCTGATTGTGTACAATAGGATTTTGAGCAAAGTTTTCACCATTAAATTATGCAAAAGGTGTCAGATGCAAAGCATTTCAGAAACCGTATGTATCAAATATGATACATTTGGCATTACAGGGTTAAGAAGTGTCTCCTTTCAGTGATTATTGTGGCTTTTTGTAAAACTCTAAGGAGTCAGTTTGGGTATTTTGAGTCTTGCAGGAGGAGCAGGTTCTGTCTACACGGGTCAGCATTTTTCATCTCACTCAGGACTCAATTGATCAAGAATTGTTATTATCTTTATGAAAACGTAGAGGACCTTTGCAGAGATCGTAGCATAGAAGGCACAGACAAAAAGTAGGAAATGGAAATCCCTATGAAATATGAAACACCCTTTAGGGAAAAACATATGTGCATAGAAATATAATGCGTTATATCTGCATAAAGTGTTTGTGATAGAGTGCGGGTGGAGGGCGAGCGATGCATGTGTAAGAGTCATCAAGGTGGATAGGATGTGTCTGCTTACGAGGGGGGCGATGGCTTTCACAGGTCTGGTGAAGATGCAGCTGTACCGTTTTCATGATGAAAGTGGGACAAACGGTGCATAAATCTGAAACTTTCTTGAAAAGTGTGTGAATAAAAGTTTTGGGAGTTTTTAGTGTCCATTAAGCTTCACCCTCCCCACTCTCTATTCCCCAGGAAGTGATGAAACTTGTCTCCAGCATTT